TCAGCTTATGCGCCCACGTATTGACCACTGCTTGCCCATCTGGCAACCCAGCTCACTTCTGTCGCCACCCAGTGCTAATTCATGTCCCATCATGTGACCTTCCACAGCGACGCACACACACACATACACACGCAGACGTACTTTCTCCCTCACGTATTCGCTCCCAATCAACTGTGGCTTGAACTTTGTGACTAACTTCCAGTTTGTATTTCATTCATTCATTCCTTGCTCGTCGTGGATCCTAATTCCCTAGCCCCGATTGTGGTTGAACAGTCCTCGTGACAGTCGGTCATGTGTCTACCTCAGTGTTTGTTCCTCGTCCCTCCAGTGTTGTTGTGTGCGGCGACCGAAGGCTTTGTCCATTCATTTGGCCCTAGTAGCTGCTATTTCTATCAGCCCCGATCGATTGACTGTTCGATGAACTCTCTGTGAGAACGCCACAAGTTGAAGTTTGTATCTGTGGTTGTAATGTAACGGTTACTTACCTATAGTACCGCAAACGTTGGAGGTTAGTAAACTATCGTACCCGTAGATCGATTCCGTTTTCTGACTTGGCGCACCACTCAACTTTGACCCAGACACCGGACCGATCTAACGGTACTCAATTCTGTTCTTCTGGACGGGAACGCATTGGGTCGTACACAATGCAGATAACTTGGAGCCAACAGAACTTGCTGCCCCACTCCGCACCGTTAGATGTATCACACTCGATGGATGTGAGTCCTAATCCCCTCTCCCTAATCCTGTCCATCACAGAAGACAATGTGGGTAAGCAGTTTCCTCCCTGTTTCCCATTGTCTGGCTAGTAAGTTATATAATGCAGTGGATGCAAACTTAGTTAATCGGTCGTCGGTCAGCAGAACTTCTAAGATTCAACAAATAGCGGCCGATGAACTAGAGATAGGGATGCAGAAACTGATTGTAAGGCAGCGGCAATTTTCCTTAGAGGAACGGATGGTCTTGGACGGCCAGTAGACTAATAACGAAGAAGCAGTAGTATGTGCTCAGGTCGAGGTCGCTCAAGGAAACCCTTCAGATCCAGTTCAATCGTACTGAGAAGGATGTCCGGCAACTACTTCACTCAATATGAATTCAGTGAGCATAGAAGTCCCATATTCCCGACTTTCGCCTGACAAGTTGATCGAACCGAAGGGGTTGGAAGAAGCATATGCATTTCTGGAATACGGCCCAGATTTCACCCTTTCGGCCGTGAAGACCGCCAATACTTTGGGTATTGAAGTCCCGGTTACGAGACTTCGAACGACAATTTTAGCAAGAACCACTTGTGAGACAAATTCCGAGGTAAACTTTGCTGTTCCATCATTAGGTGGCGGCTACCAACTGCAAGTGGAGAAGGCCTACAAGCTTCAGCTCTCTGCAGAT